AGCTTTTGCTCGCTGTCTTGCCAGCCACAGAGACATTTTGACCCTGTCTTGTCATGAAATTTACCCCCCCCATCTGGGGGGCGGCTGGTCAATGGAACCTACTATATCTACCTTTGAGGAGCGCAGGTTGCAACCTTGAGGAGAGCGTAGGGGGCTTGCAATTGAAATTCTGCAATGGGACCTTGGCACAGCCGGCTTTGAGCACGGCCCTGTCAAAGCGCAGCTGCTGCATTCACCTCATGCGAATTCCTTGGAAGCACCGCTGATGAAAAGGGCGCGTTGAACCGACGCGGACTTTGTTGGATTCCTAGTGGAGTTCAACTTCTTCAAGGTGACCTTCTTTGGCATGGGGAAAGCATGGCAAAGGTGCCCCCAAATCCGGAGTCAGAGGCCAAAAAGTAGACAAAGCCAGGAAAGGAGAAGAAGGCACACAGCCTGCCCCTTGATTGGCCTCCTGAAGGGTGGAAGTTGCGACATTGTGTGGAGAAGGACGCCAGCAACAACATCTCTTCTTTTCAGCTTTGTGCGTGTGACTTGTCGAGGCTTGAGCTCACAAAACATCATAAACCGTTAGACTGACTGACAAGTAAGTATTACATCAGTAATACATATAGGCCATCTCGCTGTCTCGAAACTGATTATTCTTTTTGGAGACCCATTTGGCCCATTTCTTCCTTTCCGCTACGAGAGTGGGCCAGGATTTCGATCTTCTTTCCACCACGTGCACGGTGCCAGTGGCACGGCTTGGAGCTTCTGCGAGACATAGGTTTGACTCAACTGTTTCCTTCTTTGGCGGAGTGGCGTTGCTATGGAGTGGGAGGGATGGAGGCCCAGTCATACGATCGGACCAAGTGCCTGACATTTGAGGCGTTGATTGAGAAGTTCATGCTGCAAAAGTTTGGAATGCCAACTTTCTTAGTCTTGGCCCTCCGTGGGATGGGGACATCATGAAGTAGGATGCAGCCAATTTTTCTAGCGCCTAGCATGGAGGCAAACAAGTGTGAGGCCACTGGACAACGACAAACAAAACAGAAGCAACACCGCACCTGAATGAAGGACAGGCATTTAGAAACAAGTGCTTTCTCATAAATAATTCGCTGGAGCAGGCCTCGTACTACATTTATTGAGATAGTTGGAGTGACTCTAGCTGCTATATGTCTTATGTATTCTCGACATATGACCTTTGTAGATGTACATATTCATGCATATTCATGCCTGATTGCAGTTTTTCCACCCTCCTCTCTCTCCGCGTTTGTCGACCTTTATGCCTCCGTGCCCACCAAGGTCCTTAGCATTGCAATCCCTTCGTCGGCGCAGTGGTCCGCCGAGGAGATAGAGAAGCTGCTGGGCTGTGCGATCCAGGGATGCCCCGAACTGGGATAAGCTACCAATAGTCAGGTGGGTAGAGCGGCGCTGACCAAACTTGATTTCAATCCAATGGATTATCCACCCATCTACTATAAGATGGGCTGCAAAGACCGACACATTCTTTTCCGGCCAGGTATTGTACTGTTATCTTGAGAATTCAACATGCCCAACGTGTCAGTAGACCCGAGGCACACTGGCTGATTGAAATGGCACTGATCGGAAAAGTGACAAAAACCAATTTGGTATCCATAATGAGCAACATAGAACTTGTGTCAATAACCTTGCACAGCTACAAGCTGCATTTTTCTTAAGTAAGCAGGAATCATTACTGACACTCCTTGAGCAGCTCTGTCATTGGAAATCTGTCACGACAGGTTCGTCACCGAAGGGACTTCCCGGCTGTGCCTCTTGCTTCTACTTTCAATATCTGAACTGTGTCGCAAGACATCGCAACTGATCTGCCAAGCAGAGGACTGTAGATAATTCTGCACTCAGCTTCCCAGATGTTTGTTGCAATCAATCCTATGGACCAGGGTGCACGTGTACGTTAGCCTACATATGTAGGGATCATCAGCCTGATTGCCTTCCGCAATGTGCAACCTTTTCACACAGAACGCCCACAGATAGGGCTACAGTCGAGCTAGGGTAGACCCTATCAGCGGGAGCCTAGGCTACCCCTAGGCCTATGATAGGCCCAGCCCTACCCTACCCATAGGCCTGGGCAGGGTAGCTTAGGCCCTAGGATATGCCTATGGGCAGGCTAGTCTCCGGGAGTTCTATGCCAACCTTTTGTGCACATGCTCCGAACACTTATCATCTCCATAAACAATATTTACACACATCTAGGTTCATGTAAGCTAAATACATCAAAATACAACATTTGCCAGCTATTTCTCCAAGCGTCTAGTTTGTTGTTGGAAAGTAACACGGCAGCGGGTGGTAGCTGAGAGCGGCGGCATGCTGGCCACCTCGAATCAGCATAATTGTGAGCTTGCTGCGCCAATTGTTGGTGGGTGGAACTTAGCACAATTTTCACAACATTATGACATGCCCGGCCATGCCCCGTCCATTCTTCTTCTCAACTCAGGTGCGTGACTGACTCCTTGGTGTCTGCCTTCGCCACGCCAGTGCTTTACGACCCCAGGTGTACTACGCTGATCGTAGGGGCGGCCTGGCAGTTCAAGTTGGATGGAGGTGATGTGGTTGATGCGGGAGGTCGAGTGTGAGGATCCGACCTTTCTGGTGAAAACAGAGTGCCTTTGTAATCCGAGTTTGCCCCAGAGTTGCTACGAAGATGACGGCAAGATTTACCCTTGGTCTTGGTCCTTGGTTGAAGCACCCGGAAGACTATGTTGTATCCCGAATTTGCTTAATTTTCAGCATATTTGCATAGGAAATGAAGTGTGTAGTGTATGTATTTCATTTTTTAGTGATCATATTTGTATGTTTTACAAACTTGCCAGGTAAAGGCCAGTCTTTGTGCAACCAAATGTGTGCAAGCACTTGTGATCAAGATGTAGGGTTCTTATAGCGTGTGGCTTATCTGCGCAGTGCAGTCCTGTCAAGTTATGCCACCCACCCTCTCAAAACCCAACTACCCTGGTGGGGTCCGTTGAGGGGCTGAAGCCGCAACTGCCTAATATTGTATAGACCTTCAGCATCACTGCGTCCTGGGTTTTGATTCAAAAACAATTTTTTCTACTGTTGCACAGGCATGGGGCTGCGACCGCCCAGATGGCCCTGGTGCTGAGCTAGTGGCCACATGCTTGGCGGAGTGCCTGGGCTGCGATGGGCCATCTTGAGATTCCGGGAAGAAAAGAAGCAATTGCTACTAGGAGCAAGGATGCTACTAGTAGCTCCTGGCCTTACTACTAGTAACAAGAAGCTACTAGTGTAGCAACGGGCATCGCTACTAGGAGCAAGGACTCTGGTCCCGTTCGATTGCTCGCTCTCAATTGTTTCCTAGCACCTAGCCTTTGAACCTCCTCTTCGGAACTCTACCGCAAGACAGGGCGAGGCATTTTAACCAATCAAAGCCCGGACGTGCACTGAGCCGGCGTCTCACTCCCTGTGGTGAGGCTTTTGTCTGGACGGAAGACCGTCGAGAACATACGCATTGGCTGGCTCTACAGCGAAGTCCACTTCTGCTTCCCTCAGCATGATGCCAGCCTTGGAAGCCACTGGGTGAGTTGATAGGGTGCTGGAGTGCCCCGGAGGGGGCCCGCGTCGCCCTACAAAAGGCGGCCGGCCTAGGCAAACAAATGTTGTGTGCAGAAAAACCCTTAGAGAATATTGAATCCTCTCTCAATCAAATCAGTGTCCTGCTTCAGCTGCTCTGCAGGTAGTACAGGTCGATCAGCATTGTTATACTTGGAACCTCCCGAGCTCCAGTGTAGTTTTGCCAGGTAACCTTCCCGACAACTATCTTATGCCGCTCAAAATGCCGCGATCTGAAGTAGAGTAGACACGCGGACGGTAGAAGATAGAGTTTCCCCAAGTAATTTTGTCTCTTTTCAGGTGTGAAGGAAGCCGAGAATGATGCTCCCATCGATGTGTTTCGGCGAATCTTCGACAAGCAGCAACTGAACCCAAGGCTTTTGTAGCGAGTCACTGGAGTGGTGGCTGGGGGGAGCTTTGATTTCTGTCCACTTCCCCATGGAAATCCTTCAGACTTCACATTCTGCTGGGCCTACTGTATAAAGTTACTAGATGCTCGCACCAAAGCTGGACCTCATCGTGCCAAAGAAGCTCAGCTCAAGGCTTCAAAGCGGAAGGCAAACAATTCTTTGACTTTCCTGGATGCACATTGTTCTCAAGCATTTATCGTTCTTACTAATCATCAATCATCGAGGAGCTGAGCGTGTCTGGAAGCCCATCCAATATATCAAATGTATTATATAAGAATAATAATGTAATGTAATGTAATGTGGGGCAAATCAGTGCTCTCCACACTCTCCTGATATAGAGCCCTTCAAGGGTCCAACGTTTTGGACCAGGGGCTGAGCTTAGATCCCACCTGGCGTAAGACGCGCTGGGAGGGTAGGAGGCGTGATGGAAAAGACGAGGTGTGCCAGGGATACGGATGAAGCGCAATGGCATGGAGGGTAACCAAAATGAACCAACAAGAGATGAACAGGTAGGACCAAACGCCTCTAGGGGCGGAAGGTGCGGCAGAAACAGACATCGACAGAGTTCGATTTGTGCTACTAGTAGCTATTTGCTACTAGTAGTAATGCACTTGTTTCTAGCAGCAATGCGCTTGTGGCTTGTTACTAAATCCTGTGGCGAGTTTGGGTTGTCTATGTTTTTGGGAGCCAACACCCGTGATCCCTCGTGTGAATACTCGACAGGGAGTTTCATAGGTGAGTCTCTGTCCGTTTGGACCATGACTACACGAATTTGCACCAACATCCCAACATCAAGGTTTGTGCCTGGTCCCGCATTTCAACCTCAGCATGCTCCTGATACACTTGGACTCACTAACATGGAAGTGGAAAAACCCTGTTTCTAGAGGAAAGTAGTCTTCCAAGGGACCATGCCATCCACTTCCATGTGATGTGTTCGTCAGAGTGCACCTGCTTCCCAACAATTCTAATGCTCCCAATACGGCGATAAGCGAAGAACGCGCCGAGGCATGGAGCCAGCCGCCTCCTTGCTGTCTTCGCTGTCCTGCTGGGGTCGGGTGACACAGAGTGCCATGTACATTCGTTTAGAGGAAGGTACTAAGGCAAGGGCCTCTTGTTAATGCTTGTCAAAAGGTACTACCCCGTACTGTTTTACAGAAAGAATTCCTTTTGGCTTGAAGGAATGGCACTTGAGCTTTCTTTCGTTCAAAAACCGACTCGCCGGAAATGGAAGTGACAATCGGCTCCAGGCCGTGAAGGTGTGTGGTATGGAGTGCCAAACTGCACTGCGAGTGCTATACTTATAAAACTACATTTGTAGGGCACTCGACTGGCCACGGTGTAGCAAGATCCTTTACCTGCAGTTTTTTTGGCGTGGTTGGAACTGGAGCTAGAAGATTCCACACCACTTGCTGGAACCAACCGTTCCTGCCAATCCCGCCAGACCCAGCTTGAGGTGTAGTGTAGCGCAGACGCTCCACACGACCAACGCTCCACGCGACCCGCCCCAGGAAGGATCTGCAGAAGGTGCGAGACGCAAAGGATCCCAATGCCAGCTTCGTCGGGGGTCTAGCCAGCCGAGCGTCGCCAGGACTCTGATGCAAACCATGGTCACATGGGGTCACATTGCATCATGGCTGTCAGCACCTGATGGAGAGCTTGTTGGTTCCTCAACTGCTGTCCAATGATTGTAGGTAGCTGGGTCATGTCACGTCTCCTTGGCACCTCATTGGTACACTGATTGGATTTTGGATGGCCTCCCAGGCCAGCTATGTGGCCCATGCTGCACGCCAAAATCTCCGACAATCGTAGGGGCCCGCGGAAAGTGCAGCTTTAACATCCCCTGCCGTATCACCTCATCACCTCAAGCAGCCCAGTGACTGAAAGGCACTAGCAACTAACAGAACAGCGGTTCTGCGTTCTCTAATGTTAAAAGACTGGACATATTGAGCATTTGAAAGAATCATCAGTGATGGGGGCCATCATGTAAAAACTATGCATCTAACAATTATATAAACTATATATATCTATATATAATATAATTATATGCATTATATTTTGCAGGATGGGCACTTGGCCCGAAATTGGTTGTTGGTCGGCCGGACTCAGCGATTGCCAGAGAGCTGTGGAGCGGAGAAAGCTGTGGAGCGGTGCTGAAGAGCCACAACAGCTGGCGGGCCATAGCCAAGCATATGGGGACCATGTAGATCAAGGAGGGTTTGAGACAAGTCAAGTACCAGTCTTGATGCTCTGAGGCTGCCGGCTTACATGGTTCTGTGTGCTGAGAAGGAGGACGATCCAGGTTGGGAGCCCTGACAGTTCCACATGGCCTCCTCTGCCTGACTGCCCATGACAGTCTATTTTGATGACCATGATGCTTCATGACGCTGGTGTGTGGTTGCTCGGACGCCTCCAAATCCAATGCTGGATATTCCAAAGTCTTGCGACTGCAAAGGTGCTAACCCTCCTGGGCGGACCATCAGCTTCACCGCGGACTGTCGTAGGGAACTGAGCTTAGAGCCTTGCTGGAGAAGAAAATTCGCGGGCTACAAGCTGTTCACAGCAACAAGTCCATTTGCTTCCACTGGCCCCGAGACAGATTCAGTAAAAAGTACCCATGTATTGGGAGACTCTGTGGACCAATTGATGGCCCCCCGCTCCCAACCCATTGACAAACGTGCTGTAGACAGTTGTTTGGCTTGGAGGAGTGTGATTGACAGACAGCACAGGGGATAAAACAGCTGAGGAGGGCGGAGGCCCTTGATACTGGTGTTCTGCCAGATGAGATTACAACATACGGAATGAATGAAATGAGGTGATGAACCACAGGGTTGGTGTGATTTGGCGATGTCGAGGGCTTTGGTGTGGGGCTCTGTTCGACAAGAAGGTATCACAGGCGGAAGAAGCACTTTCCCTTTGCCACATGGCCATGTTCCGCGTCAGATTCATCCAAAGTGGAAGATCGCAACTCAGTTGACATCCCTTCGGAAACTTCATATGTACGGCCGGGTTGCACACTTGTATCCACTGTATCTCAGTGTGCGGCTCTCCGTGGACGCACTGGTCGTCTCAGGCGTGGGCCAAGGAGGAGCTGAGAGGCTCGCCCTTGGAGATCGGGCAGTGGGGCCCTCAGAGCGCCTGGTCCGTCGCCAAGTCAAGCGCGCCCTAAGGGTGACGTGACGGTGACGTCATGCGCAACGCCAAGACACAGTGTTTGGGGTGGCGAGTCGCTGGAAACATGTGACTATGAGCTCGGCATGGAGGACCAGCTAGCTAGGAACAAGGGCATCGTATGACATCGCTACTAGCCGCTACTAGTAATTTAGTAACGAAGGGCATCACTACTAGGAGCAAGGACGCTACTAGTAGCTCCTGGCATTACTACTAGTAAGAAGAAGCTACTAGTAGAGTCTTGTCAAGGAGTCTATAAAGTTTCAAAGCTCGATCAAGCACAATCATGTCGACTCACTGGCGCACGTGCTTCTGGCTCCTGTCAGGATTGGGTTCGGCTGAAGCAGGGGCTACGACAGGGAATTCAGGATGCAGCTGGCTGGGTGCCGCCACCAGGATTGTTCCGCGATGTTCCTTTGTCTTCTCAGTCAGTTGGTCCTGAGAATGTCAGAAGGGCATCGGCACATGTTTGATCATGTTTGTGCAAATGCAATGGAACAAAATTTCTCAACAACACTTAAAAACTCAAGAATTCCCTAGGGCCCCTCTGTGGCATCAAAGCAATCGGATTCGAATGTTTTGGGCTCGTGAGCTAGCGCATCACTAGAATTTGTAGGAGTCACCGTCACCTGCAGCTTTTCATCACCTTTTGAAAGGAGTCCGTTCCCTTTTGTGATTAGCCGCCAGGTGCTCCAGCCGCGAGCGGCGAACGCTGAGGCATTTGGATGGGTCGATAGTCAGGCAAACAGTATTGTGACTGTAGTTTCAAAAGCTGGTGCTGCAAGACACGATAAAGTTCAATGTAGACGCTAGCTTCACAATGCAGCGCTGGGATAGTGATAGCTCAACTCAGTATGCACATACAATATCATACAATTGCATGTATGACATCTATGCAGGTGAGCGTTTGGGCCTTTTTTGCCCCTGACCATGTGGCGCTTGGAGTGGAGGTTGGGGGCCTGAGCGCATTTTTTACTTCCCAGTTGACACTAACCACCTCACACACTTTCACGATAGGTAGGGTCTAGCGCCTAGTGCTATTAGTAACAAGAAGCTACTAGTAACAAGGGCATCGCTTCTAGTAACAAAGGGCCTTACTACTAGTAGCAATTAGTAGCATTCTTTGTAACAAAGGGCATCGCTACTAGGAGCAAGGACGCTACCAGTAGCTCCTGGCCTTACTAGTAGCATTCCTGCTTGTAGAGAACATCTAGGCGCCTCTGGCAGCGACTGAAGTTCTTCAATTCTCTGAGGTCAAAGAGGTGGAAACTCACCAGGCTCCGGCCATCCTGTGGAGCCGCGCGTCTCCAATTGGAGCATGCATCGTGGGTTAATGGGACATACGAACACTAGGGTTGCTAGTCACGTCTTTTCCGCTTTTTCTTTGACACCTGTTTTCGGACTTTGCCTGATGTACATCTTCATTTGTTTGATGTGACGAAGAAGGCATCTCCGTCTACTCATGTGCTGCGGGTCACTTCACAACGTGCTAAGGTCGACTCCCACGGCCAGGCATGCAGACGCAGATCGCTGGCGTTGGGTGGTCCCAGCACGTAAAACGGCGCGACTTGTGGAAGCTTTCGTTCCACTGATGTGTCACACATATTCATGTACTTGTATTGGAGCAGGTTGCAGGGCAATTTTACTGTAATTGGAGATTTGAGTTTGTCTTACTTAATTACACATGTGGGACTTATGTAGTGGTTATTTTTGATACAGACACAAACCTGCTCTAACTTTGATCGAAAAGTCGTTTTCCCAGAGCAGTTCTCACATATCCCTAAGAAATATCAACAACCCCCCCAAAGCCGGGTCGAACGCGAAGCATGGACATCCCTGGACCAAGTCCCGACGGCCGTTTGCAGCTGTTCAGCTTCTCCAAACATTAGAAGGCCGAGTGCTGCCCAAGGCACTGCTCGATGGTTGGGCGACTGGGATTTGCAGTAAGCATTTTTTTTTTAAGGCCCGTGGCTGCGTCTCCTTACTTGATTAAGTAGGCGCCTACTTAATTAAGTAAGGGACAACCTTGTTCAGGCTAGCGCTCACACTGATTTGGTTCCTGGGTTTGTAGGGAAACTTAACTTTTGAGAAATTGCAATACAGGCTCGCCTTTCGGTTTGAACAGATCACCTCACCTTTGCCAAATGTGGAATCACATAGGAAGTGAATCAGTCCAATTCTTATCCGAACCCACACACAAAAATCATAGGAAGACAAACGGGTAAACAACACCTTTTGCAACAGTTTCAAGATTTGGCGATGGTGTTGTGGGTCCACCTTTTCTGAACCTTCCAGTCCGACCGACGTCTCCAAGGCAGTTCTTGACGGGATATCTCCAGCAGTGTGGCCTCGAGGCTGAAGATGTGCCAAAAGTGGCCGCGGCCTTTCTGGGAGCCAAGTAGCTTGGCTATGCGCCCGGCAAAGCTCACAGGATTTGATCCGTGTCCAAAGGCCCGGACGGCGATGCCTTTTGGCCTTTTGGTGCACACTTCAGATTCGGGGGTCAGTGACCTCCATGCATCTCCAAGGTACTGCATGTGGGCGGCCTCTGTGGCAGTGGCCGTGCGCTACCGGCCGCTGCGAAGGGTCTTCCTCTCAAGACGAGAGGCACTGCTGGGGTTATCTCGCACGCGGCCCTTCTCGGAATCTGGGCGTTGCAATGTCTCCAGAGCATATCAGACTGTCAGAGTGGAAAGTCTAGATTGTTGAGATCTCCACCCTCGCTTACAGGCGACCGAGTTCCGAGCGGATGTGAACAACGACATGGTGCAGCATAAATTGCACACATGAGATCACATGAGCACCTTGTAGGGAACTCCTTTGTGTGTCATCCAATTCTTTAGCTAAGGAGAGGAAACGTCTTTGGCTTGTTGAAGCGCTGGATCATGTGAGGCACGTTCTTTCTTTTTCGTGAGGTCATGGGCTGGGAGCGAGTCCTCAAGGCCTCAAGTTCATTTCCAACTGCCTCGTTGGGTCCCAAAGGTTGTGGTTTTTCTCTTGGACTGCCACTAATGGAACTGCTAATGGAACTGCTGAATCCGAAGCTGAATTGAGATAATTGAGCTCACCTGTCTAGTATGGCCTCACGAGAAAACAGAGAGATGATAAAAGCAACTAACACGTCACGTCCAAAAGACTGATGAGAACAACCGCCAAAGCCCCAAAGCCACATTTCGTAACGAGTGGTCGTGAATAAGAAGTTGGGTGACACCTGAAAAAGCGACGTGCCCCCCCTCAAAAGTGATAGCATATGATAACCATGCCAATTTAAATTTAGCTTTTAACAGGTCGTTCAGCTGCGATGAAAGTGTGGCCAGGGTCCGAAACTCCAAAGCGATAGCCTGGGTGAATCATCTTCTCTTTATTGACAAACGGTTTTGGCAGCCTTTGTTCATTGTTGTTTTACTGAGGTTCCATGAGGTTTCTCCCCAGATATTTTCTTTGTACATGTTGTTTTATCGGAATTTGCGATCACTGACGAAATGCGGTCTGTGAGGAATAGCGATGCTCGTGCTGCGGGCAGTGCACGGATGAGAACTCGAGACTGGCTGAAGAAGCTGCCTGACCGAGCAAGGAAGGCAGGATGCAGGACCTGCCGGATGGCGATGCCCGAACTCCTCCTGTACAGTACCTCCCTGGTGGCCTCTAGATTCTAGATGTTCCTAACATGGCACCGGCTGGGATAACCAGGGGACCTAATATGCCCTAGTAACTGAACCATGGCAATGAGAGATGTGCGCAAATCACCTCCTGCCGTGGCAGGCCGTGGAGAAGGGGATCGCCAATGCCCGGGCCCGTTACCAGGCGGCCAATTACAGCTGGAAGCTGGCGGGATGGCAACACCTTAGGACCCAGGAGCGGCATAAGCTGGGCGTGGCACCTTGGGCGAAGACATGGGGGACGGCTGTGGAAAGGCATGGGTTCAGGTTCAGACGGTCCAGTTTGATTCAACAAATGCTACTGACAGGCAATCGCAGACGCAATCCAAGAACAATCTGTGACAAACAAATTGGAAGTCATGAGGGTCTAAATTATAGGGCAGCTGAAGGACTTTGCGTCCTGCGAGCCAAATGCACCACACCAGATCACACCAGTGCTTGCAGGCACGCGTTGGCCAGAATCAATCAACAATCATAATTCGGGCCCTGTTCATTCTCTCTGCCCTGGACTGTCCATTCTTGCCTCCAGCTGAGGTCCCTGTGAAGCCGGGGCCTGTTGGCTGGTACTCCTGGAGCTCCGCAAAGTATTGGCGGCTCTCTGATGCCTGGTCGAAGGTGTGAGGTGTGTGTGGAATGAGTAGCGAGAGGAGATAGGTGGTCGGGATGTGTGGTTTTCTTGCAATGGCTAGGAGTTGACAAGTTAGATGCGGTTCAAAAGAAAACTGCCAGCTCAGCACCATGCCCGCTGAGCTTACCAAAGAACTTGTACACCTTACAGCCAACGGCCAATGGCAGTATCAAACAACTACACTGCTGTATAAACGTTACACATACCTTTTGAGATTGTTTAGATGACTGGGGGATTCGAGAGAGAGGTGGTCAATAGCGGCTGGTATTGCCGCACTGAGGACAAGCTCTCAGCCTCCGCGGGCTCAAACCGCCTCTGGAGCGGCATGACCAAGCTACTGAACCTCAACTCCAAAGGCCACGTGCCGCGAGCATAGCGAAGTCGGGGTGCGTTGTGCGTAGTCAAGTAAGGGGGCCACTTGGTCCAGCTCTTCTACCCTAGCGACTCCTAAGCCTAGGCTCATTCTGTCCCGGCAGACTGCAAGTTGTATTCGCTTCCTTTTGTGCGTTGTGAGACAAGTTTGAGTGGCCATTGTCCTGGCAGGCTTGGCCTTAGGCTTGGCTGAGGGGACCATCCTCTTCAAATTCACGGTGCCCATCCACATGCCTTTGATGCTCTTCGCCATCGTGCGCCTGCACCGACGCGCGTACAGTGCAGCCCCTGTGCCTGAGGCCTCCGTGGAGCAGGCTGGGTTTTGGGTAACGATGGGATTTCGCCGCGAGTTATGCGAGCCCCCCAGGTGCAAACGGTTGCACCACCAAATGACCGTCAAGGAGGAACCTTCGCGTTTGTGGTAGGAAGATCATGTCGGATTTCTCATGTTTTCTCTTAAGAATCAAGCAGTTCTGCCCACCCATCAAATTCTCAAGAAGTCCATGTCCAATCCCTGCAGGCTGGAAGCATTGCTGAGGCCATTGATGGCGCAAGGAGCAACCTGCAATCCACCAGGACTGCTGCGAAGGATGCATCTTCCCTCGTGGGTTGGGGGTGGACATGGGCCGTTGAATGAGAGAGTCCACTCAAGACGTCTCCCTGCAAAGGCTGGACATGGTGACACGCAAACTGACAGCCATTTGGATTTAGGTGCACAATGGTGTTGATCTTGACCACATCTTACAATTAATAGAACATAGAACACCCCGATTTGGATGCCAAGCCTTGCTGGAGACATAGCGCGCCTGCACGAGCCCAAATTGTGATTGCATTTGAAGGTGGAGATTTCCTTTGGTAGGTCGTTGCCGGGCATGTGGTTGACATGCCCCAATCCTGTGACCATCACGGTCAAGTGGCGAGAAAAACGCCAGGCGCAAGGAAGCGCATTTCGTAGACTATGGTAGACTTACTCTTGGCTTCTTCGGCGGGGTTGGGCCAGTTGGAGGAGCGGCTTTCAGATCAGATGTCATCAGAGTTCTGCTCATTGACATCCCAAAGGGGAGAAAGATGAGAAAATCACTATGAAACCCATCAGGGCCCCGGTCCCTGGCGAAGGGGGCTTTTGTTCATGGATTCCTCCAAACCCACCTCACCTGCCCCAGTTACAGAGGGCCGCCGTGCCCCGTTTCACCGGGAACAGCCCTCACTGGGGGGCCCACGCCTGCTGCAAGTCGATCAGGGCAGAGGCGCAGTTGAGACGATCGGCTCTCGCGGCCAAAAGATTGGCCGTTTGCGTGCTTTCTGAGGAGGAGGGTCATGCCCGGATAAATCCCAAAGCGGACATGGTTTCGATCGGTCGGATGCTCCTGCCAAGGCAATGGCAGCCCTGGCGGCTGAATGCGTCGCAGTATGCACCCTAGGTGATTCAGCCTTGCTGAAAATGTGATCACCATGCCCATACAGTACATCACCATAAGACATGTAGATGTGGGAGTTTAAGAATCATCGACACCCCACGAAAGCAAGTGAGCAAGCGGCAAGTGTTCCTGCCACGAAAATGGTGTTTTTGCATCCAACAGGCAGGGCACGATTTGTACCCCAGCATCCACTGAATTGGCAATGACAGCTATTTGGTCGGCTCACTGACTTAACCACAAGTGTGCTGAAGCATTTTGCGCTGAAGTTGGTGCTGAGTGCCTCAGCACGATCTGCTTGTTCCGAGACCATGGATGGCCCCAGCATCGTGGCCTGAAGCTGAGACGAGCGAAGACTACTCTTGATGGGGCATCTCCAACGGAACACAAGGTCCTTGGGTGGTGGATTCAACATCCAAAGTGGCTACCGCTACAGCCTTCAAATGATAGTGAGCTCCACAAAAGCATCCTTAGCCAGATCTGTTTAACAGGAATGATCCAAGAGTCAGACTTTGTTGGGGAAGGGGTTCGACAGAACTTGAACTCTATTCAGGTGGACCCCACCTGCGGCATGGGCACCCTGCTACTTGCCCGGGTTCCCGGCCTCTTCTTGATTGCCCCAAGCTGCAGTCAGTTGGGGACCGGTTACCTGGCGCAACCGATTCGAACCCGCTACACAAGAGATAACTGACTAGAACCACGACGACCTGAACTCACGCAGCCTTCAGGCAGCGGCACGAGTTTGGCCACAAGTGAGTCCGCGTCCAAGTGTTGGTTTTTTCTTGTCAAGACAGCATTTTCTTTTTTTTTCCCCTGTCCCAAGGGTCCTTGCATCATGTTATGTCCTTTTTTTGCGAGCCCGGGCATGTTTGCAGTCCAACCAGCTCAGTTTGACCGGTGCCACACGCGGGGAGTGAGGTGGACGGCCCCTGCGTTTGGTAGGTCCGGCAGCTCAACTGACTGAGGTTTACGTGGGTCCAGGTTCGGTCATGTACGGTCCAGTAGGTTTGCGGCATGTTATATATATATATACAGTAGATGTGAAGGGTCTCGTCAGCTCAGACTCCCAACATGAGTGATCACGTGATCACCTGATCACCAGTGACACTGGTAGTTTGTTGGCTTGGGTAGGTTCAAAGAGCTTCCTCGGTGCTACCGCTTGTTTTCTTTCGGCAGGGCGGGAGATGAATCCCAGCCAGCTCCAGCAACTTGGACCAGAAAGCACCACGAACCCGCACCTGCTCGCTTTTTGTAGGGTCTCGGCGCATGGTGGGTCTGGTAGGCCTTTGTTCATCCAACATGAACTCAAAAGAATGCTTAAAAATCAACGAACAAAGACACTTCAAACAGATTTAAGAGCATTTGATCAAAACGATGCATCGGAGGAGATGGGACATACTTTATGCTTGCAGTTCACCAGCCTGGGAGGTGTCAGGTTAGTTTTTCATTTTTGCATGTCACCTGGAGATCTACTCTTGATACTCGTGAAGATTCAACATCCTTGAGGAGGAGCACAGAAAAACACATCAATTGGCTCCCCCTTTTTGTCATGCAGTGTCAGGCTAGGTCGGCCATGTGCTGCAAGACTGCAGGGCACAATAGAACACGGTCCGGATTTGTTTGAAAAGTTGTGCCTGTTTGTGTTAAGGAAATGCTATTCCAACTTTTCCTCCTGCCACCTGGACATGTCGTGTCCTCAGAGCGCTCAGTTGACCAAATGCGTTCTCCGGATTCGAGAACCCGACATATTCATATTCGCAACCAAAATGATCAGCAGGACAGCGAAACGGAGCAACTCCACCTTTTTTACAGCGGATTTGTTTGTAAAGCGCTTGACCTTTCGCCACTCTTCGGCGACTTGGCCTCGACCACTTTCCATGACTCAGCGCCCCGCCTGGACGTCAGGTCTGATGTGCAGCTCAAGGATGGCAGGGTCCACGGCCCCGGAAATCCCTTGTGGTTCAGATCATTTTTGAACTAGGGCATGCTAGGGCAGAACCTAAAGCAGCTGTTTGTGCAAGCACTCTCGCTCTTTTGGTGGCTAGTTCATTTGGCACTGTGACGTATCATCCCAAGGGACACTGATGTTCGCAGAACGTTGTGAAATAGTGCTCAACCATTCTCATTGGTTGGCTTAAGGATGAGTTTCCACATCGGCAGGGTTTGCAAGCTTGGTCGCCAAGGACCCCAAGAGCTTCACTGAACTTCCAGATGCTTCGGCCATCGCCTCAACATGGGAGATCGTCACAAGGTACTGATTGATGTGATGGAGAATCCTGAGAGTGAGGGAAAAGGCGGAATAGGATGTACAGCCTTGAGCACAAGTCTGAGGATGAAGATGTTCTCATTTGATAGATTGCATTGCAAGAACTGACAAGTACTGCACAGGTATGTTTTGAAATGCTCACTCCCCTAGGTTCAGGTTCTTAATATGATGTGAGTTTTTCTTTCTGTAGCAATTATATACTGTACTGTTGCTATACTTACTATATCTTACAATACATTGCATATAAAACTCATCAAAGCAACACTCCAACAGGCTTTTGCTCTCGGGCACGCCCTGCCAAGCCCTCGAACGGGGACACCGATGCTTTGCTTGGCAGGTCGATGCTTTGCTTTGTGATTTGCCGAGCGGTGCAGCGCACAAGGAAACCGGGCGTCGAGGGAGTCGAGAGATGGAGGGATGACGAGAGGAAAACCGCATTCGATGCCTTTGTTTTTGTTGGAACAGGCCCGCTGAGATTCAAACTGCCTCATTGATTTTGCCACCCAGGCTAGTTCGGACCTCGAGCACCTTGGCGGCCTGAGGTCATACCCTTTGTCAAAAGAAGGATGAGGAGGATGTGGTAGGACCCAATGTAGGACCTAGGAGGTGATTGTTCACGCAACAGGTTGCCAGAGGGTTTCAGACGTTGTGGTGGAAGGCTTCTGGATGTTCGAAACACCAGTGAGAGCGCTTCTTTGCAGAGACGGTTCAAACGACCGCCAGAACCTCAGGTCTTACTCTTCATTCCTCCGCCTGGCTGAACGTATCGTCAGGCAGGGACCGAGGTCGCTAGAATGCTGGCACGCCTAGCAAGAGCCGGGCAAGACAAATGGCTTGAAATTCCAAAGGTTGGAATCTGGAACCCGGGTGGTTTTTCTAGGTGAAGTGTTGAATGTCGACATCTTCACATCATCAAGAATTCTGAAAACAGCTTTTGACCATTCAACACAGTTGTGTGACTTGTTACTATTCCTATTCCAGGCCTGGAGGGCGTTGTGTGCTGCTGTCCGAGCGCAAAGAGATGCTCACGAGGCCCGGGGGGCCGGAGTCGGAGGGTTGGTACTTTGGCGATGGCGATGTGTAGCATTGGAATCAGGACCAATGAGGTGGGGAGGATTGCGAACACGTGATATATATAATGCACAGCTTCATGAAACGCATTGTGAAACGCAGCAAGACAAACAAGAGGGAAGATGTCAGTGACACAAATTCCCTGGCATCAGCACCAACCTCTTGTCTCAGGAGGATCTCCAGTTCATCCTGGCAGACAGTGGCCTCCTGGGTCATTGGTCGTGGTGAGGCGGGGCATATGAAGAAGCCGAGGTATTGAAGTTCCGAGGGCCAAGGCTTCTTAGCAAGTATTGAAGTGGTTTTGGCCAAGGCAGTTCTTAGCTTTTGGCATCTTTTGGTGACGTGGAGTCTGTCGGGCTTGGACGATGTGTTTGGCACTCGCAAGGGTAACACGCTGGAGTTCCTCCTCATAGCTTTGGAACGCCGGGTGCGTCAGATAGTCTGCAGGGAGAGCGGGGCATTCCTCTGATCATCTTCAAGAAAGAGATCAGCTTGATGCTCAGGAGTGTCATGACTAATCACTACGCACCATTTCGCAGACCCGCATGTGATAAGAAGCATGGAAGTATGCAGACAAACCAGGATATGTCAAGACACCTCTCTCCTGCCTCAAGAAGGTCCCAACACCCCAGTTGTTGCCAGAGGGAGCCGAGTTTGGCCATGTCCAAGAATCTATATTCTATATATTTTGGAGTGGGGCAGAGCCGCTTGGACGATTGCGAGGTGTTACTGAGTCGGATGGCCCACATGTACAGGACATCACCCCCCTTTACATAAGAGACAATTAGACAGGATTTGCATAGGTATACATAAACATACAGACAGACGGACGGACGGACAGAGAGAGAGAGAGAGAGGCATACACACATACATACATATCATAGGTCACATTCTACACCGGATGTGTCAGGACTGCTCAAGGACACACTGGTCAGCCGTATCCCAGGTCGGAGGACCGGGAGGGCCGCAAAGCGTGAGAAACAGTCAGTGCTTTCTTGCTGCTGACCTGACGCGATGGGCTGGTGTCGTGATACATCATTCTCAAGTTGACAACGCTCGAAGAATAGACAGATTCTTGAACAGCCAAAAATTTGAGGTGTATGTCTATGCTGAAAGATTGGATTAGCCGAAGGAGACCATGTGGAATGTTGATTGATAATTGTTGTGACTTTGGCTTCTTTCTGTTTCTAATTCCTTGCACAAAGCCCATAGACAGTCTCGCTGGATGCCAGGCGGTTAAAGAGTAATGCACCTGTAGGAAAAAACACATGGCCAGAAGACCATAAAGAGCCGTACCCAACCAGACTTGGTCTCAGCCTTATGAACATGCTGTATACTTAATTTTGCTACAGGTATCCGGAGAAGAATTTACTCACGCTACTATTCAGCTTGACACAAGGCGGCCTTCGACTATGCTCAAGGAATGGCAAACGCTTGCTTCAAACAATCATGTTTGCCGTGCTGATGGGGGGCGGTCCCAAACCTTGGACGAAGCTAAGTGGACCAAACAACATTCAAACATAACCTAATAGCAAAATGCACCTAATAGCAATGGCCTCGACCGTAGTAGCAATGGCCTCCAACCTATACAATCTATAGCAGCATGAAGGACATACAGGACCTATTCGGCCTGGGGCCAGGTCTCTCTCCCCATTCTCCCCCTTGTTCCACCAGAAGCCCATGAATGTTTTGTTGGCGAGAAGGTAACCCTTGATAGGTGAGCGCATCCTAAGTGAACCCTTGCAGCAAACCTTGGCATGGTCTGCATCCGAATCTGTGGGTTGAGCACCCGTGGCATCCTGCCGCCATGAGCTCGTTGCCCTTGACGCCCCCCCTGCAAATGTGCGCAGGTGGGCGGTATGAGGTAGCAGTTCAGCAGTGGCTTTGCACAGAAGAACGCCTCAGTCAATGATTAAGAGGATGTTAACCGAAGGAGGTGTGTTGCTGGGTCTGATCTATGGAACCCATCGGAAATTACAGTGCATAAGACTTCCAACAGCGACGCAATCTACTACTGAATCACCACTCTGAGTCCCTGAGCCCAGATGAGACCTGTCGCCTGGCAGATGCGTGTCGCCAGAAGGCTGCGGGAGGAAGGGCCTTTAGTGGATCCACTTGAAGATCTGAGCGGAAAATTCATGTCTTTCAAATTAAAGGGGTCCCGACAGATTGTATGTCTTCATATTTATTCCTTTCGTTTGGTTCATTTGTTTGTTCAATCTAGTTCTATTCCTCCTCCTCTATCATGTTCCGTTCAGCAGCTGTGCTGAAACTCATTCATTAACACTACATGCGGCTACAGGTCCTTAGATGGAGTCGGAAAGCTGGCGTTCATGGGACAGTCAATTTTGTTATCAACCTAGCCTCACGAAACAACCTGTGGGGTTCAAGACCATCCTCTAGTACTGCCGAAAGGAAAGTCTTTTGGGGCTGTTGGAGAGTGCTGATGGCCTAATTACGACATGTACAATGTAGAACTTGTCTTCACCTTCAACGCTACTGACAGATGATGAAAGATGCTCAGTCGCTGCCATCTAACATGATCTCACTCCAAAAGGCCTCAAGCATGAGGACCTGCAAAGCAGTGGATGGAAGTGAGGTTGCATTCTCAGGATTGGTCCCTTGCGGATGCTTTGGTCGATGCGGCGGATCTCACCGAGTTGGGGATCCCACCTCGAACCTTTGGAGTTTTGGGAACCTTCTTCTTTTCCTGGATGGATTGGACGACATCTTGGCTTTGATCCTTTTTCAATCTTTTGCATTATGCTGGACTGGTGTGCTTCCTTGGTAGCCTTGGTTTATGCCAGTAGGAGGCTGTGCTGGGGCAGAAGAATGACGTTCTCCAAAAGTAGGCTCACAGAGCGACGCTCAGCACCAGTATTGGCTCAATTGGTGCAGCAGAAGAAACAATATAACGGCACATATATATATATATGTGTGTGTATACTAAAAATAGGAGTATTAAAAAAAGCATGCACCATATATATATATATATAGATGCATATAACTTTGTATACAAATATAAGATGATGGTGAAGAACTCCCAGACATTCGGCCGTCACTGAATCGACCTTGCCCAGGCTGGACTCCGACCAATTCAATGCTCCTTTACACTGGGCGGTGGGGTCCCTCAGCTTGGGGAAAGGCACATTGGCTGTGGCTTTTCATTTCTTCCTGTTGTGATCTGAGGCTTGGAATGGCAAAGAAGAGTTGGTGGTGCTCTCAGCCTTCAGCTCGACCATGTCATGTGCAGATCTAGATCTATCCAGACTCCGGGGAGAACAACGCCTTTCTCTGGCTGGTTCGGAGCGACCGCTGAGCGACCTGCCCATGGAATGGGCATGTGATGGTATTTGAGGTGGAGGAGCTCCTCCGGCGCGGAGCACCGCTCCGGCAGCCGAACGCTGAGGGGCTCCAGGCGGTGCACCTGGCGGTGCGGAACGGGCAGCTGCCGGGGGGCCGAGGAATCGTTGTGTGGATGGCATGGCCCAGAAAGGAGGAGCATTTTCCGGTATGCCTACTGTAAACAGTTAGCCTAAACAGGTGGTGAACTCCACTGCTAAAGGTGCAGAGTTTGGAGTCGAGCGACTTCCTTGATGCCTTGATCCCTGATGAGAGTAAAGGTGTGATCTACTGCGTGTTGCCCTTGCCTCGCGTGGCGATAACATCAGATCCCTGTTTTGGTCAAGCACAAGTGAACGCAATTGTGGTCTAGAGTCTAGCGATGCTGGCTTAGCAGGCCTGGTGAGAGGTTTTTCTTGACCGTCGCATAGTCATTGCCTTCCGTGAGCATCATTGGTCCAAGCCAACGAGGACCTCCCTGCACTTCCCTGCCCGGTCTTCAAGAATCGAAGATCTCGTTCACGACACTGTTGTGCGCAATGAAGGTTTGAATCGAGGTTCTCATATTGTGCTCCAAGTATCGGGATTCATGCACATGCAGCGACTTCGAGGATGCCTCATGCGCAGCACCAACCAAAGCTACGACCTTCAATGTGAATGCACGGGTCATTGTTGGTGCATCTTGGGGGGTTGGTCCTGAATTCTTCGCATTTCCGCTTCGTGGCACAAAAAGCTTCTCGTGGGACTCAGGTCGGCCTTGGCAGCCTTGTGGAGTCCGATCCCCCAAGCGACGCCCATTTGGTTGCCACAGGATCTGTTTGAGAGGTAGATTGCGCATGATCCATGTTTGTTCCCGGATGCAGTATGGTATAATACATAGTTAAGTTCAAGATCAACTCTGTATCCTGCTTAAGGTCTAGTCATTGGGCATTGCTGCCTTCATGTTGTGTGCTTTGCCGAGGACATGACCGAAATATTGCCATGGAGCCTGACGGCGAGGCGGTGCTACAGGAAGATACAGGAAGTGCCCCAGAATGACAGACATGAACCGTATACGCACGGTATCCATTTCTTTGATCTCATTTCCACTTGAGCAACTCTAAAAACCTTGTTTTATGTGTTTAGTCCAGGTCTTGTCATATCAAGCCCCCGGGTAAGCACGTAAGGCTGCGTAACCATTTTGGGGATAGGATATGATGTTGCTGAAGCACTTGCGTAAGCTCCATTCTCTTTTTGAGACCAGGATTGAGAAGGAGGAAGACAAGCAACCACATTGGAGCTGTTACACGTGTTTTTGTTTTTCTTGTTTGGGACTTGGGACTTAGTAGGATGGACTATGAAGGTTTTTCTGAATACTATCCATGCTAATTCAACCCTTGAGGAACCTTTAGTTAGCTCAGCCAGGAAGATGGGGCAAGAGACTCATCCCTGTCCAGTAAGGCCAAGGTAAGGCCAGGAGGCCCCGCGTAAGCCAAAGTCTGAGTTGCGTAAGGATAGCGTAACCGCCAGCGGCAGCAAATTGATCCGACATAGGGAGTAACTGCAGGTTCTAAGAGCATGGATGAACATGGAACCATTACATGCTGGTCGAGGCAACAAGTGGATCCACAGATGGCATGGATGTTCTTAACAGGTTAACAGACCAAACGCACGGACTGCAGGGACTGCACATGACTGTGCGAACCCTGCGAACCCAGATCGGCGCACCTTACCACCGCCCCATTAGTTACGGTTGGCAAAAGAGATGAACACTTCGAACATGGAGGCTGTTGTTTCCCTGCTGGTCCATTTTGCGGGTTCCCATTTCCAGATTAAAACCATTATCACACGGGGTGCAATCAATGAACATCTCTCAAACAGCAAGTCTTGGTTGAACTCGGAGTAGCATGCAGAATCAAACAGCATGGTCAACATGTCGGTGTGCAGGTCAATTGGGGATACAGCCAGTCATATGGGAACCAACTGGGCTGAAGATTGATCCATGCTCACGGAGGTTGCAGGCTTCGAGGAACATGGACATCTGGAAATCCTTATCATTCTGCTCGCTGGCTTTGGAAAGGGCCTTGAAAAAGGGAACAGTTGAATTGTAGCTCTCAATGTTTTACCTGTTCAGTTGTTTCACCTATTCAGTTCTACTTTGCAAGCGACTTCCCCATGACAGGATTTTCCTGATCCTTCGTAGCCTCTGTGTGCGATGTGGCAGGGTGGCACACCACTCCACCATGCAGCTCACGGCGGTTACCTTCATGTCCTGGAATGGCTGTGCGCCGGTGGGGGCAATGCCTGGCCGAAGGCAGCTTTCTCTCTTACCGTACGAGGATTTCAACAATCTGAGCCTCGTCCTTTTCCACATTTTCGGGCTTGGCTACATCGCTTCTAGTAACAAGTGCCTTAC